TTGAGAAAATAAGATCTGGACACTAGATGTGCTTGTTGGTACTGGGGTGTCTTTGCTTCCAGTCCCTCTCAGCCAAATTAAAAAATTTAAATTAGTTCCTTGTACTCCCCACCCCCCGTGAGATTATGTTATTCATTTGAAGTGCAGCAAGATTCGTTTGTTTTTATTTGTATTTTTAGCCCCCCCCCTTTTATTTGATATTGTTTTTAGGTATGCAAAACTATGGGCTTCCCTGGTGGCTTAGACAGTAAAGAAACTGCCTGCAATGCAGGAGACCCAAGTCAGGAAGATTCCTTGGAAAAGGGAATGGCTACCCACTCCAGTATTCTTCCTTGGAGAACCCCATGGATAGAGGAGCCTGGGAGGCTACAGTCTATGGCATCACAAAGAGTTGGACATGACTGAGTGACTAACACATTCACTACTTCATGAAGAATTATAACTTGGTCTAAAAGTCAGAACCACATAGAAAATATAGTTCCATCTACCCATCTCTTCTGCTTATTCTTACCTTCTCATTCTTTTTGTCCTGTTCTTTTTCTTTTTTAAATTTCTTCTTTAAAAATATTTTGTATTATTTTAAGTGATATACCATTGATGTTTTTGTGCACTTTACTTTTTATCATGTAAGTTTTCCTGGCAGTCACTCCATATAAATTTATAGAAAACTTCCGAGTTATTTTTAATAGCTGCATAGTAGTGTGTGCGTGTGTGTCTGTGTGTGCATGAGCACGTGCTGTAACTTATTCAGCCACTCTGCTGTCCTGTGTATTGACCCTTGTTGTTGTTCACTCGCTAAGTTGTGTCTGATTCTTTGCGACCCCAAGGGCTGCAGCGCACCAGGCTCTTAGGTTGTTTCTAATAGAAACAGTGAATAATCTCGTGGATACGTTTTTGTGCTGGTTAGTCAGTCTACCTGTAGCTGTTGCCTGTATGTCTGATGGCTCAACTCGAAGTCAGGAGGTCAGGCAGTTGAAAAGGAAAGATGGATATGAAGTAGGGGAGAACCAGGGCGAACTACAACCTGTATGCCTGAACTGGAATCCCTTAAGGATGAGCTGCAGCCATGTCAGCTTCCAGCTTAAGTCATGAGGTGACCAGCAGAATATGTTTGTTCACTTCATCATGGAGCTAGCAGCTCAACTTGGCCCAGGAGTTGGACATGCTGAGGGAGGAGATTTGGCAGAGCTAGTGCAGCTCGGAGGGGGGGGGGGGGGGGGCAGCCGCTCCCCCACAGCCCTCCAGGCGAGCCCGCAGAGGAGGAGCATGTGTAAACTGCAGCAGCGCCTGTGCCCTGCACCAGTCTCCCCATAGGAGAGGATCAGGCTGCGGCTGCTTTACACCTTCCAGTTCTCTCTCAAAGTATCTCATGGTCCAGGATAACCCAGAACTAGGCAGGGAATAGACTACTGGACAACAGTTCCAACCTAGCTAAATCAGCAGAATACAACCTGAGAGTTGAAGAGTAATATAAAATCATATGTTCTGACAGAAAGAATGCAACTAAAGAAAAATGGAAATAAAAGGGAAAGTGGGGAAACAGGCTATTGATAATTGTATAGGTAATAAGTGGCAGTTAAAGGATACCATTTAAAAATGATAGACCAGACCATAAAAGATTATAAAAATGGGAATTAATACTTTTATAATATGATAAAAAATATTAATAGAAAATAACCACTGGAACAAAAATAAAAACCTTCCTAAAACCCCCAAAAAGTCTTTTAAAAAAAGGAAAATGGGCATACCAAATAGAGAAACACACTGTAACATAATATGCAGTAATTACAGTATAGAGAAATAGAAAAGGTTTGATCAACAAATGATCACATCAATAAATGTGATTAAGGTTAACTTTCCTACTGAAAGAAAATACCCATCAATTCCTATTTCCCGTTTTTCAGTTTTTTATATTTTTTTGTCAGGAGTGAATGCTGAATTAAAAAAAATTTTTTATCTCATGAATTTCTTGTTTATTACTTGCTTTCTTTTGATTTATTCTCTTTTCCTGGCCATGATTAGAAGCTTGATTATTTCAGACCCCTACCACCCCCACCTCTCATCCCTCTTCTCCAGAGAGGGGAAAGAGGCTGGAAATGGAGTTAATGATGGACCATGCCTCTGTGATGAAGCCTTTGTAAAATTTCCAAGGGTATAGAGCTCAAAGGACTTAAGTTGGTGAACACAGGAGGAGCTGGGGTAGTGGCAGACTGGGAAAGCACGGAGAAGCTCTGTACCCCTTCCCACACACCTAGCCTTATGTTCTCTCTTCCATCTGGATGTTTGGCTGTATGTTTTATCATACGCTTGTACAGTAAACCAGTAAACCATAAGTGTTTCTCTGAGTTCTGTGAGTTATTCTAGCAAATAATCTAATCCAAGGGAAGGGTCATGGAAATCTCATTTGTAGCCAATTTGAACAGAAATGTGGGTAGCTTGGGGACCTGTGACTTGCTGTTGGCATCAGAAGTGGGAGGGCAGTCTTGTGAGTGACTGCCCGCATGTTAGAATGGAGAACACCCAAAAGTTGTTGCAAACAGTTGCCTAGTGGGGGGGGGGGGAACCCACCCATCTGGTGTTAGCAGTGTTTTAAGTGGTATTAGTGTAGGAGTAAAGAAGAAACATGCAAGAATAGTGGAGTTTTTCTGAAACAAAAGACAATTTTTTTGTTAATAATACCAGTTTTACTGTATTGTGGTTTAGAATGTAATCTTTTAAGCCTTTCTTTGTTATCAGTATTTATAAATATCCCATGTACACTTGAGAGGAAGGTGTATTTTTTATTACTGGAGTGTGTCTGCTTTATCAAGTTGCTTCCTTTATTCCTTGGGGGTATTCGTAGTTGTTTTATCTTTGTTGTAAATGCTTTTCACATTAAAAAATTTCTTCCTTTGTTTAATGCTGTGAGGATTGACATCTACCTTGTCAGATATATCCTACTGCTGCTGCTGCTGCTAAGTCGTTTCAGTCGTGTCCGACTCTGTGCGATGCTATGTACAGTAGCCCACCAGGCTCCTCTGTCCACGGGATTCTCTAGGCAAGAATACTGGAGTGGGTTGCCATTTCCTTCTCCCAGATATATCCTACTTACCAGAATTACACCCTTCTGTTTCTGTCCTTTCGTTTGCCCACATATCTTTTCCCATATCTTTATTTTTTGCTTTTCTGGTTCACTATGTTTTCGATGTGTCTCTGATGTACAGAATGTGTCCGAATCTTTTTAATAGATGAATTAAACCCATTCACATTTATTTTTAAGTATTATTATGTATAATTATGTGTTATTTTGTATATTAGGTTTTATTTGTTGTTTGTCAACATATGCTTTTTTTCTGTTTTACATTACTAATTTCTTTTGATACATAGAAATTTGTTATATTTCTCTTTTATTGGTTATCTTTGTACTTATAACTTAAATAATAATAATGAACATTTGTTGAGGTTTTACAGTGTACTAGGTACTACGCTAAATGTCTTATACAGATTATATCCTCAAAGCTGACCTGTGAGGCACTTACTATTATTTTCCTATTCTAAAAATAAGAAAACTGATAACACAGAGAGATTTAGTGCCATGCCCCAGGTAACTCAGCAAGTAGTAAAGCCAGAATTTGAATTCAGGGAGCTTTTTCTATTTTTTTAAGAACTTTATTGCTGTATATTTGACATACAGTGTATTTTAAGTGTACAGGCCTTCCCACTCCTCCCCACTGCCCTTCTACCTTGTTCTGCAAAGTGCCACTTATCACTGTCTTTTTTTCTGCAGCTGCTTTCAAGACGTTTGTGGGGTTGTTTTTTTTTAATCTTTGGTTTTCAAAACTTAATGATGTAGGTAGGCATGGTTTTCTTTCAGTTTCTCTTCTTTACGGTATACTAACCTTCTTGAATATCTTTAATCAAATTTTGGAAGCTCTGGTGTTATATATTTTTTCTGCCCCAATCTCTTGCTCCTCTCCTTCTAAGATTCCTGTGGCATGAATAGTAGATAGATCTTCTGAAACTGTTCCACAGGTTCACTGGGGCCCATTCTCAATGCAAAGCTGTGAAAGGGGAAGCAAAATACAGCTGGAAACGCGCCCTCCTGTAATTTGCTTTTCCAAGTTCTGACCCCTCTCTCACAGTCTTCCCTGCTTTTGTTTGCTGTTCTCAGCCGTCAGGCATATGTGTGTGTGTGTGTTTTGATTTGGAGTTGCTAGTTGTAATGGAAGGATGGGCTGTCTGGTACTTAGACCTCCCAATTTGTGTGGTTTTATTTTTTCTTCATACTGGTTTGTATAGTTTTTAATAAATATGTTGGGAGATTCTAATTTACATGGCTATTATTACCTCTTATCACCTTGGTAGTCAATACTGAGTTTTTCTGTGAATCCAGCCTAACACTTCATACTTTTTTTTTTTCTGTGTTATTTTCTTGACATGCTGTATTGATTAGGTAAAAGACATACTTTGTTTTTAGTTTTCAGCAATTCTGCTATCTATAATATGATCTGTTCTAAGAGCTATACAGTAGGAATTTTAAATAAATCAAGGACATTATGGCAACATCTTGTTCCTATTCATTCTGTTAATCTATGATGTAGTTAGATCAGAAAAATTTAAGAGGATTATGTGACAGTCAATACCAGCAGAAAGCAATCATAGTCTTTGTGAATTTTAAAGGAGCTTAAAATAGGTGGGAAAAGGTTACAAAATTTCAACATCTTTTTAATAAAATAATTATTTTAAAGCTTTATCTAGATAAAGGACACAGGGTTTTAAACTTAAAGTTGCTACGTGATTTTGATCATATGTGGTTTTTATGTAGTCATCAAGATTTGAGTTTAGATTTAAATGTTAGTTTTTTATTCATGAGCTTAAATACAGTTGAAGATACTAATTTAGTCCTATCTTTTCTCTTTTTATCTGTTTATACTTATTAATGACCTCAACCCTAATATATGGATAGTGGTAGTCAAATATTAATACTTAATAATGTTCAACTTTTAATTTTTTGCATTTAGATGGTCTTCTGATTGTTGGTGTTCACTCGGCTAAGTTTCCAAATGAAAAAGTCCTGGATAATATTAGGAGTGCTGTTCTTCGATACAACATCACCCACCCTGTGGTTAATGATGCAGATGCCAGCCTTTGGCAAGAGCTAGAAGTTTCCTGCTGGCCAACTCTGATCATACTTGGACCCCGTGGAAATATGTTGTTTTCTTTGATTGGAGAAGGACATAAAGAGAAATTATTTTTATATACTTCAATAGCTTTAAAGTATTACAAAGACAGGGGACAGATCAGAGCTAATAAAATTGGAATAAAACTCTATAAAGATTCCTTGCCACCGTCACCATTGCTGTTTCCTGGCAAAATAACAGTGGACCATGTTTCTAATAGACTGGTAATAGCAGACACTGGACATCATAGAATTTTGGTCGTCTGGAAGAATGGACGAATTCAGTACAGCATTGGAGGTAAAGTTTGCTGATTATGATATATAATGTATTTTACATTATATATGTAAAATTATTCAGAGAAATGTATTAAAATGGAAATTTATAAATAACTACAGAAGGGCAATATACATTGACTGTTAACTTCATCAGAAATTATTCTGTTAATTAATGTGGGGTATCTGAATTAATGTCTTTTCACTTCCTCAAAAACAACCAAAACTACACAAAAAAATTCCATTAAGATCAAAAGGAGGAAATCTTTTGTATAATTTTCAAGTATATCTGTATATCCCATCTTGTTTGTTCAAAAAACTGCCACTTTATTGTATCTTATGAAAATATTGTATACATTTTAGATTTGGGGCATTTTATATGGAAGTATTATATTTCCCTTTCCATCAAAATATAGCCGTATCTTTTTTAAGACCAAGATTATACCCTAAGAACTTGAGACTTAGGTTATAAAATAAATAACCTAGGATTTGTGTAACATTATACTTTTCTCTCCTTCCATAAGAACTTAAGCATACTTTTGAATCCATTGCCTTTGGTTGTAGCAAAATAAAAGTATCATATAGGCGTAGGTCATTTTCTTCCATATCTCCCTGGTCTGTATCTAAAAAGGGCTCTTATTGACATCTTACCTAATTAATAAAATCTACTAAGTACACTGTTAATCCTGCTCATCCAGGCTGAAATGACATCCAACAACATATTAGTCAAAGAGAAAAGTAATTCATCTCTTTGCAGTCTTGATTTAGTCACACATGCACTGTTAGTACATAAGGAAGGATGCAAATAAACTAATCATACCCTAAGCCCTTCCCTTAGCTCTTGAATGCATTTGTTTGTTGTTTCTGTTGTGTATGCTCTGTGTTGTTTATTTTGCTTTGGCAACTTTGTATCTTAATTTGTAACAGGCAGAGAATTGTTACTCAAAAACATGTGTTATAGCAAGTTACATTTAAATAATTAAAAGTTTTTTTAATAGCTTCTCAAATTTTCAAAATAGTTTAGATGGATATTCTCCTTTGTTAAACAGAGAAACCAGCAGCAAACTACCTTTTCCATACATGTTTCTAGAAGTACTGTTATCTTGTGATAAATTTATAGTTATTCTGCAAGTTTTAAAAGAGAATTTTGTGGTCAGATGCACTCAGGAGATACTGATCAGATGTGCTTTAAAAGATTCTTGGTGGTGGTGGTCTCATTCTACTATCTTTTACTCTGCTAACGTGGCTCAAGAGTATATGTGAAGGGGTTATATAGTACATAGCACTCTCCAATCTGGTGACCACAGTACTCTCCCTTTTTTCCCCCTCAGAGAGCTCTCATTATCAACAATAATAGTGTTATTAATAATAACAAACAACCAAAATATACCTGGCATTATTCTGAGCACTTTACCTGTATTAATGTACACAGTGCTATAAGTTAGGTATATTATTAGTTCCATTTTACAAAGGAGAAACTTTTGTCACACAGAACTTGCCTAGATCAACAGCTAAGTAGAGCTGGGGTTTAAACCAAGTCTGTTAAGTTGGGATTCATGGGCTATTATTAAGGAATGCTTGAATGATCCTCATGACCTGTGAACCCCTTGAAATTGTTTGTGACATTTAATGCTGCTGCTGCTAAGGTGCAGTCGTGACTGACTCTGTGCGACCCCATAGACGGCAGCCCACCAGGGTCCTCTGTCCCTGGGATTCTCCAGGCAAGAACACTGGAGTGGGTTGCCATTTCCTTCTGAAAGTGAAAAGTGAAAGTGAAGTCGAGCAGTCGTGTCCGACTCTTAGTGACCCCATGGACTGTAACCTACCAGGCTTCTCCATCCATGGGATTCTCCAGACAAGAGTACTGGCATGGGTTGCCATTTCCTTCTACAGACATTTAATGGGCATGTGTATTTTTGTAAGGGAAGGGCTCATAATTTTCACTGTTACTATCGAAGGAGTTTATGTTCCAAAATTGTTAAAAATCATTCATCTAGATGCTGAAAGATTTAAATTATTTTTAATTCTTTCTAGTCTAGGTAATAGATGCCTTTTGAATTAATTTCTTCTGATACACACTAGTGAAGTATTTCAGTAACCATTATCTAGTAAGTCCTGTCACTTGCAAAACTTACTCCTGAGAAAAACAGGTATCTTGGGAAACAGTTTAGTTTTTAGGTTGTTGTTATTATTCAGTGGCTCAGTCATGTCTGACTCTTTGCGACCCCATGGACTGCAGAAGTATCATTTATATTAAAATCCCAGCTTTAAATACAAGTTTTTATTTTCGGGTTTTTGTTTGTTTGTTTTACTTTGAGATAAGAAAAATTTTCTCTTATGGTTGCTTTGTCTTTTAGGACCCAACCCTGGAAGAAAAGATGGAATCTTTTCAGAGTCAAGTTTTAACTCACCACAAGGTGTAGCCATAATGAATAATATCATATATGTGGCAGATACAGAAAATCACCTTATAAGAAAGGTAATTTTCCATTTTAAATAAAGTTTTAATACTTCTAATCAGAAAAACTTATATATACTTGCTACATAAATATTTGAAATGAGAGGGTGTTACTTAAATATTTCAGATCATCCTCATTCAGTTTTTCTCAGAGGTACTTGCTTTAACTTTATTCTTATGTAACTTGTTTTTCTGTGGGTCAGCCTATTGTCACAGAGGGCAAATCCATCAAGTCCTTTTTTTAATCCTTTATTTCAAAGTCATGTGCCTAATCACCCTAAGGCTTCTCAATCTGAGGTATCTTCCTAATCAGTTTGTGAAGTGTTGCTTTGTCCCTTTTCAGTTAAATTTTCTCAAATCTAGGAAAAAAACAAACACACATTTCTGCCTCCCTTCAGCCCTTATGTTTTCTCTGAGAATACTTATGTGTTAATTAGACTTAAATATTTTTTAGTCTCATTATAGTAGCAATATATGATCTTTTTTTTTAAATGATGTCATACTTAAAGAGTTTAAAAGTCCTGAGTATTTGGGCTCCCTAGTGGTAACCAACCATTGTTAAAATTTGTGTCTTCAGAAGTTTTCTACTCATACACAAGTTAATTTTGTCTTTAGAGAATGTTCCTTTTTAAACAAATGGAATCATAATATATATATACATAATTTTTGCATTCTCCTTTAACTTTTTCCCCATATTAGTCATATGAATATGACTGCATAGTATTACCTAGTTATTTTAAGCATTTCTTACAGATGAGTATTTTGGCTGTAATTTATCGTTCTTTAACATGCCATCTATTTGGAAAATAAGTCATCTAATCCATTCTGTCTGAACATACTATTTCAGGCACTTCCCTTGCTTTTCTATTTCTCTCTCTTGATGTTTTTGCCTATTTATATTGACAAAATTGTCAACTAATATACTTAGTTGATAATTATACATAAAATAGGGAAAAACGTAGGACATATAATGATAATAATCACTGTAATGTAAATCCCCACATGGGCATGAAATTTGTTTTCTTTACTACTGAAATTCTAAGCACCTAAATTAAAACAGAGCCTGGCCCACAGTAGGTGTATTTAATAGATATTTATTGAATGAATTTATAAGCAAGTAACATCTGTTGAATGAAGCATTTTCTAAAGTGTGTTTATCCTAATATAAAAAGATGTTACATGAGAAAAAGATTTTGTGGCTTTGTAAATTAGATTTGTTTTTTAAACATCTTAGAGAATTTCTTAGATTTTAATATGCCAATATATTGTACACACATTAGTGGGGGGATATGTGTGCAGTATTTCTAAGCTTACTTGACCAAGAAGCCCTATTTGTCAGAACTTTTCATAGGACTGATAACTTAACATTGTGTACTTCGGGCAAACGTGGTTTTCTGTTGCTCCTTAAAGGTCAGTATTCTTTATCATTATCTTTTTTGGGTTCTGTGCTTCTAAAATTCATCAGAGTACCGTAGATATTGAAGAGAATAATGAGGTAGTAAGGTATTTAGCCCACAAGGCAGAGGGAATACTTGTCCTTTTTTGACTACACGTTAATTTCTCTTGCTTTAGAACTTAGTGGGTTCTAAAGTATTGATAGCATAATCATCATAACAAATATAGGTTACTTGGAGTCATTTTTATATTATATGACAGTATCTTCAGGAAAAGGAAATGATGTAGAATTATTTCTTCCTCTCTTTTTAAATCTATAAAAATGTTTACGTTTTTAAGATCTCATTTGCAGAGGGTGGATCACACTCCTATGTTTATACCTCACAAACATCATTGTTCCATGTCAGCCTGTTTCTTGTTAGAAATAACTTACTTACTTATTTGGAAACTCCTCCTCATCTCCATTTCCGTTTCCCCTGCCGTTCCCTGTGCATAAGTATACCTATAGGCAGCCTTTTTGATGTGTTTGATTCACATCTTTTTATTTGTTTGTGACCTTATAAAACCTGTAGTATTTTATTTGTATGTGACCTTTATTTTTGGGGGCTCCAAAATCACTGCAGATGGTGACTGCAGCCATGAAATTAAAAGATGCTTACTCCTTGGAAGGAAAGTTATGACCAACCTAGATAGCATATTAAAAAGCAGAGACATTACTTTGCCAACCAAGGTCCATCTGGTCAAGGCTGTGGTTTTTCAAGTGGTCATATATGGGTGTGAGAGTTGGACTGTGAAGAAAGCTGAGCACCAAAAAATTGATGCTTTTGAACTGTGGTGTTGGAATAAACTCTTGAGAGTCCCTTGGACTGCAAGGAGATCCAACCAGTCCATCCTAAAGGAGATCAGTCCTGGGTGTTCATTGGAAGGACTGATGCTGAAGCTGAAACTCCAGCACTTTGGCCACCTCATGCGAAGAGTTGACTCATTGGAAAAGACCCTGATGCTGGGAGGGATTAGAGGCAGGAGAAGGGGACGTCAGAGGATGAGATGGCTGGATGGCATCACCAACTCGATGGACATGAGTTTGAGTAGGCTCTGGGAGTTGGTGATGGACAGGGAGGCCTGGCGTGCAGCGATTCATGGGGTCGCAAAGAGTCGGACACGACTGAGCGACTGAACTGAACTGAACTGACCTTATAAAATCTGTAGTATTTTAAGAACTTTATTGTGATACATTTTCCATAGAATAAAGGTCACCCATTTCAAGTATGTAATTCAGGAATTTTTAGTAAATTTAACAAGTTGTGAAACCATTATCATAAATCAGTTTTAGAACATTTTCATCTTCCTAGTAAGAACCCTCATACCCAGTTATAATTAATCCCCATTTCCACCCCCCAGTTTCTATCTCTATAAATTTGCCTCTTGTGAACATTTATATAAATAGAATCATATAATGTATGGTCTGTGTGTCTGGCTTCTTTCATTCTGTGTAATATTTTTGAGGTTCACTGATGATATAACATGTCAGGAGTTCCTTTATACTGCTGAAGAGCATTCCATTGTGTGCATAAACCACATTTTATCCAGTAACCAGTTGTAGACATTTAGGGTGTTTCCAATTTTTGGCTATTACAGATAATTCACATAGAAGTTTTCTGTGGGCATACATTTTTATTTCTTTTGGGTTGTTGTTGCTGTTCAGTCACTCACTCCGACCCTTTGTGACCCCATGGACTGCAGCGTGCCAGGCTTCCCTGTCCTTCACCATCTCCTGGAGCTCGCTCAAACTCATGTCCATTGAGTTGGTGATGCCATCCTACTGTCTTGCCCTCTGTTGTCCCCTTCTCCTGCCTTCAATCTTTCCCAGCATCAGGGCCTTTTCAAATGAGTCAGTTCTTTGCATCAGGTGGCCAAAGGATTGGAGCTTCAGCTTCAGCATCAGTCCTTCCAATGAATATTCAGGACTGATTTCCTTCAGGATGTACTGGTTTGATCTCCTTGCAGTCCAAGGGACTCTCAGTAGTCTTCTCCAGTACTACAGTTCAAAAGCATCAGTTTTCAACGCTCAGCATTCTTTATGGTCCAACTGTCATATCCATACATGACTACTGGAAAAATCATACCTTCGACTAGATGGACCTTTGTCTCTGCTTTTTAATATGCTGTCTAGGTTTGTCATAGCTAAGGGTTCAACTTCATTCTTTTACATGTGGACATCTAGTTATCCCAGAACCATTTATGGAAGAGACTGTTCTTTCTCCTTTGAGTAGTCTTGGCAGCCTTTAGAAAATCAATTATTCATACTTGCATGGGTTTATATCCAGACTTTCACATCTATTCCATTGGTCTGTTTATCTGCCTTTATGGTAATATCATACTGTTTTGATCACCATAACTTAATAAGTTGTGAAATCAGAAAGTATGAGTCCTCCTACTTACTTCTTTGTCAACATCTTTTGACTGTTCCTGAATCCCTCACAATTCTATAAGAATTTTAGGATCACCTTATCCATTTCTGCAAAAACTTCTGTTTCCTTCTCATGTGAATATATTGTTTGAAAAAAACACACAACAGTTTTATCTTTTCCCTTTTCATTTTTATACTTCATTACTTTTATTATTATTGCTTTTAAGCATTATGGTAATAGTAGATATCTTGTCATGCTCATAGTCTTAAATAGAATGCATGTAAACTTTCTCCAGAAGTTTACATGCATTTTCTGTAGCTTTGGGAGATAAAATATTTGTGAACTTAAGAAATTTTCTCTTAGTTACTAAGAATTATTATATGATTTATTAAATGCATTTTCTGGAAATAATTTATGCATTTATGGAAATAATTGTATAGTTTTTTGCCCTTAGTATACTGATGTGATGAATTATATTATTAGGTGTATTTGATGTTGAATCATCTTTTTATCTATCCCTGGAATAAAACTTACCTAATCATGATTTTTTAAAAGCCAAATTAGATTTGATTATCCAAAATTACATTCAATGTTATAAAATTCATTTTCATAAATTCTATATTTTCTTGTACTGTTCTCACCTGATTTCGGAATCAAGGTCATACTGATCTCATCGAAGTTAGTTTTTTTTCTTTTTTTATTTTCTGTTTCTTTGTAATCATTTGTCTCACATAGGAATTAATGGTTTTTGAATATTTATTAAACTCCTATAACATTACCTAGGCCCAGGCTTTCTCCAAGAGGAATTTTTAAACTATCCTGTCAATTTCTGTGAAAAGAAAGTGAAAGTGAAGTTGCTCAGTCGTGTCCGACTCTTTTCAACCCCATGGACTGTAGCCTACCAGGCTCCTCCGTCCATGGGATTTTCCAGGCAAGAGTACTGGATTGGGTTGTCATTTCCTTCTCCAGGGGATCTTCCCGACCCAGGGATTGAACCCAGGTCTCCCGCATTGTAGACAGACGCTTTACCACCTGAGCCACCAGGGAAGTCTTAAATCAAGATCTATTTCAAGAACTCATCCCTGGCTGCTAATTGTATTTTTGCAGATTATATGTTGCAATAAAAATATAAAGTTCCATTGATGAACATTTTTTATAATTTCAAAAGATTATAGAGCAGCTACTAAAAATAATGCAAGAGGATATCACCAAAAT